TTTCAAGACGCTCCCAATTGAAACCATGTAGATACAGCTCACAAACTCTCTAATCAATGCTCATTGACATTTTTTTAACATTCTTATTTATAACAAACAAACAATTAAATAATAATAAATTATTAATATTAAATAAATAAAAAAGTTGTTTTCAATTCAAAAAACAGTTTCTCGAATTATGACCACTTTGACCGCACTTTTTACAGTGGTACACTCTTTTGACCGAAGCGTTTGGTTCAACCTTATTCAAACCCTGACCAAAAACAGGTGGTTTCGGTGGAACTACTCTTCCTGGATGCGTCACCATTTCTACCATTATTCTGGGTCTTGGTCCTTTTTGAAATTGTCGCGATGGTTCAGTCAGATTGTCAACAAAATTCTGGGTGCTAACTAGCGACTTTCTCTTTACAATAGTGTTACTACTTTCTTTGTTTTCTGTTATAAAAATCGACTTCCTACCACTTGTAGATTTAGTGACCACTAAACTGGGTCGGAGTCTTTTCCTTGTTTCTTCGACAACAAATTCTTCAATGTGTTCATTTTTCTCATTTTTTCCTTTCAAAACATCGTTGACAAATTCATAATATCTCACTAAAAGGGTGTTGTCATCCTTTAAAACGTTTTCTATTGCTTCAAGAGCAAAGTGTAGATCACGTCGACTTTTTGATGGCTTGACTGTCTCATCAACTGAGATAGTTTCAGTTGAATGGACACATTTCGTTGTTTCAAAGAGTTTTTCATTGAAGAGGGTGGCTGGAAGTGGGAAACACCATTTAATAGAGTACAGTGTAACCAAGTGAATACACGGGTATTTATTTTCTATAAATTGGTCACAGTTGCACGAAGATAAAGTGGTGCCATCAACAATCATTCCCATGCCACTTATTGCGTATCTATACTCTGTCATGACTTTGTGTATAATATCCTTCGGTAAAACGTACAGTATATTCTCATCTATCACCAACCGAGCCGCATTGTAATCAAAATTGAACTGTAAATCAAAACGTATGCTGTCTGCTTCAAGTAGTTGCGCCAATTCCAAAAGAGTCACTTCTTTTCCCCCAAACTTAAGTTTAAAGACTCCAAAGTATCCTTCTATCGCATTTTAAGTTGTTCTGTTTGAAATACACTCCGTGACGCTTGGTCTCCAGCAATCCATCACATTAAGTAAACCTTGGATTAATCGTATTTTATTTTTAGTACGGTCTTCCTTTTTTTCGTTTTTATTAGCTATTTTTAATTCATTAATTATTTCAAATAGTATTTGTCTATCATTTAATATAATGTTATCACTTCCTTCAATTCTTTCATTTTGATCAGTACTGAGATCCGAGCCACTCATCGTCATTAACGTTTTGACAAAGTCTGTTTCGGATACCGTTTTATCAATCATTTGATACCACATATGAACAATATTTGACCTTTCACCAAAGGCAACGATAAGATCTCTTGCAATATGCCTGTGACAAAAAACGAATTTGATTCCAGAAAAAACCGAAGAAAGTGCGGAAATCTGTGACATGCACCTATCACACACAGCCAAATTAAATTTTCTAAATTTAGAAACGAATTTGAACAAGTTGAAAAATGAATCAGTTGTTCTATCTCTTAATATATCATAAAAAATAATATGCGTTTTATTTTTTTCGTCTAAAGACACTGCTACTATTAAAGGCAAATTGAATACATCGTTAAAGCTGTATCATCTATAAACATTCTATTTGAATAATCAGTTGAAATTTAATTGAAGTTGAAAGCAAAAAAGAAACAAATTGTCCTGAACTGTTTTTGGTAAAGTGAGTTGAAAATTGTTTAGTTTTTTTCGGCGTACAAAAATAGTTGTTGTGTTTGATCAGATGAAAATTTATTAAATGAAGATGAAATAAGACGTCGAACTACTGATGGCTTGACTGCAAGATTCATTGTAGTGACAATTTGTGAAGGGGAATAATGTATCATAGCAAGTTTTTTCATCTCATTTATTTGTTCCTGTGAAAAAAAAAAATTCTCATGTGTAATGGAATATCCGTCGTAAAGTTGTGGGAGTGATTATTTGTTATAACAATATGTTTAACCATTGTTTTATTTTCATTCAAATTCAAACAAATGGTACAATAACATTTCTGGTAAACACAACGGAATGTCTGTTTGAGTTTTTGTGAATCGCTGTTTTTCGTAACGAAGAGAGATAATGTCTGGTTAACAACAGAGATAGCTGATGCCTCTGCCATTGTTTTTGATTGGGTTTTGAAGTTGTAGGAAATAAACGCATTGGCTATTGAATCGATTATGTTGTCTGGGGTTTCAAGCCCTTTTTTAACCAAAAAAGGATTACCATCTTTGGTTTTTACATCGAAAGTAAAAAGTACTTGGATTTTGGTTGAGTGTTCTTCCATTTAGTAATTAAGAGTTTTAGATTTGTTAATATTGAAAGTATGGTTTATTATTATTATCAATTATTAATTATTATATAATAATATATGAATTATTATTAATTATTATATAATTTGGTGTTTTAGAGTTAAATAATATTTAAAACGTTTACTTTGCGCCAAAACATGCGACAAAAAAAAACAAAAAAATTGCCGTTTTATATAAAACTTTTACTTGTTTTACTTTTTTTTAGATGTAAACGAGAAAAAGAAAAACCCTATTTTTTTCAAGACTCAAAAAACAAAAAATACAAAAATGTTTTATTTTTATATTAAAAATATGTATTTATAGCGGGGTGTGGGTGTAAAAGGTAAGTCCAGTTTATTTATTGTTGTAATACATTCTATAACACAGTTTGTTGTAGTTCAATGAAAGAAAAGATAAT